TCTTTGTACGATATATGCTTCTCATATTTTCTGCTTAAAATGGAGCGAATGTAAAGAAGCTCTAAGAGAGTATAGAAAGTGCCATATAAATAATGCGAACAGACTTTACGACAACTGGCGACGTTAAATCACAACATGCATCTTGCTTGTGCTATCGCTGTCGCCTATTTTTCTATCTCCGCCTAGCTTGGGCTTTGACCTCTTATTTTGCTTCTCTTCATAGAGGGTCTTCAGTGAAGAGTAAAAATAATCCTCATCGAATATACACTATTTAGATCATCTATCTAAAGTTAAACATCCTAATACTTATATCTATAAATCCTTTGCATTATGCAGGATTTTATGCAGAAAATAAACGTTACATGTATTTTATATATATATTAACTATTTACACAGTAATACATTGATGCTTCTTTCTAATTTAAACTTTTATTTTTATTTTATTTTTAACATTAAATACTTAATCTGGCTTTCCGACACTCGACAGATCTTGAAGTTAAAAAAAGATCTGTTAAAAAATCTTTAATTATATATTTTAATTATAAATATAAAATTATATAATATATAATATCAAAATATAAAATGTTTTAAAAAAATATATAGTAATAATAGAACATATGATTTCTTTTCGTACAGATTATAAGTAAAAAATATCCGGTTTGTATTACAGATGCCACGAAGCAGAAGGCGTCACCGGTCTCGTAGCCATTCGAGAACACGTTCACATTCTGTAGGCTCCCCACAATATGAGCATAAACGCAGACGTATCGATTATGAGAGTCCACAGAGCAAAGGAACCTATAGGTAAGTTTTAATCCTTGAATAGAATGTATTCTTTCATTATCTTCGACAACATATGATTCAATACATTTTTTGCTAACATCCGTTTCGTAATAAGAATTTACATACAAATAATTTTTGATTTATATGCAAATTTAATCTGTGTCGTTCTAATTACTTAATCCATATTCCATATCGTTCTTATGGTAAACACCATGAAGATATATTCAAGAAATATTTATTAATAATTCAAGATTAGTTAATTAAATAATTAAAATTAAAATGTGATTAAAAGAGATGAGCTTTTGTCATAAAAATGCTAGTCAAAGTGTATTTTAACAGAAAATTTTTAATTACGTATAAAAATAATTATACTTTATAACGATCTCGTAAAAAAAAAAACGTATTCGGTATTCTGCGAATACATGTGTCTCCTCATTTCATTGTCAAAGAAAGTTGCAAGAAAAAAGGGGAGAGTGCGCGAGAGAGGGAACCAGTAGCTTTACTGAGACCAATACCGGGAGCGAACGATCTCTCCCCCTCTGTTCCCACGTCATTCTAACCGGCAATAGAGCTTCTCCATGAAGTCTTCATGGAGGCTGTCAGTCGTGATCAGTGCGCTCGAGCCTCAGCAAGTCCCATCAAGACCTGTTCTTGACCCTCGTTATTCGGAACGATTCATGAACATATAATACGTGAGTGCCGATGCGAGTGTCGTCGGTGATGCTCGCATTCGCCGGGAAATAAATTCACATCGAAGGGTGATTTGCCGAGAGATAAAGAAGCGTCTTTTATGTCACACATATCAGAGTGTTCCAATATAGGATTTTGGAAATTTATGAACGTTTAGAATTTCATTTTGTCGAGTTTTGAAGAGGTAACAAATACTAGTAGCGATTCAAATAATTTTAAAAATGAAACATTTAAACGAAGTGTTTCTAAATTGACGTTTCTTTCATAGCGCGTTTATGAAAGATACAAATTTGCACTAGAATCGTTTTGGATATAAAGAGAAGTCTTGAAAATACAATCAACCCGCTTCCATTGTGCAAACTGCATAAAGTGTGCAATAAATCACTACGAAATATTTATAGAGCCGCAATCTGCCGTGCATACTAGCACGTCTTACTCGTTTTACCCGTCTTATCGCTGGATAAACAACCTACAAATTATGCGAAACAGTTAGACTGAGATTAGAAAAAGAATGCATGAGCGAAAGACATTCTAAATATATATTTTCAATTTCAGACTACACTTATACTTTTATAAAGAGCACAAATTCGCGCACTAGTGGATATGCAATGTTCCATATTAAATTAATATTATCGTTATTTTAATCTTAATTAATAATTTAATCTTAATTAATTTTAATTAATAATTATTTAATTTTTATTTTTATTTAATTAATATTTTATTTAATATTTTAATTAATATTTAATATTTTAATTTTAATGTTTAACATTATTTTAATTTAATTATAATTTTATTTTACTTTATTTTGACATTAATAATGAAGTTGTTTTCGTATGTTTTACAGATAAGAGCTAAAAATTATATATTTTTTCAAACTATAATTGTCGCGTCTCTCGGATAAATTGCTTTTGAAATTTGACACCAATTAGGCTCTCAGAGACACTCTTATATTCACATTGCGCTTCATTAACCATGCATCTTGAGTGGTCGCATGGGGATGAGTCATGCGGAATGCGGGCACGAATTACCGATTAATTAAAATGCTCTTTATACTTTTCTGCTTTAATTTAAGACTGCTGTGAAGGCGTGCTTAATGAATAGTAGTAATTTCTTCTCCATATTACTTCCTGAGCTTCTAGGTCAATGACTGAACGCTGAAACTCCAACGATCGCAGTAAAATCTCAAACGAACAAAGTGCCGTTTCTTTCGCGTTATAATAAATTATATTAATTTGCGGGGGTTCGCGCGATTTATTAAAAAAAAAGGTGCTATCGATCGCGCGGGATTGAAAGAATCAAAGACGCAAGGACAAATTCTAATGATGAATATATCTAATAACACAGTTAAACAATTCTTGGAGATCTGAATAGCGATGAAATTGGCCTATCACGTTAGTTTTTCGAGAAGATTGAGCCAAATTTGACGTTTTTTGCCATATTTATCATTTTTTTGCAGCCAAAAATTTTTCAATTCTACTTACGCCACTTTAAAGTGCTATCTTTTATTTATGTAATAATATAAATTTATATTTATTACGATACGATTTTTTTTCGTATGCACAAATAGCATATTATAAATCATTAAATTGTACATATGCATTAATTTATGCTGATTATGCATATGAAACAAAATCATACTGTAATAATTATAAATTCATTTTATAAGTAAAAGATAGCATTTTGAAGTAAATGAAATTGAAAAAAAATTTGTTCGCAAAAAAAAGGTAAATATGACCAAAAATACCAATCTTGGCACATTTAATCTCAGTCTTTTCGGAAACTTGACATGATAAACCAATTCTGTCGGATTCGTTTTCAGAGAACAAAAGTCCATCGGAAAACATTTTGTTTAAGATCTATTTTTGTATAACTGTGTAATCTACAAGCAAGACACTTTTGATTACAAATGTCTGGATACGCGATATTAACGTCTTTTTTTTGTAGCCAGAATATAGCTTTAAAATCAGATATATAGTACGCAGATAGCACGGTTGCGTCACGATGATTTCTCACAATACGACATATTGTGATTATGATTGCCGCGAGAATGGCTCGCACTGAAGGCTACGTATGAGATAAAAACGCGTTTTAAATTTTACCTTCTTTTCGTGCGAAACCGTTACAATTACCAATTGTGAGTTTAATTTTCGGTCTTACACAAAGAGAGTACATAGTATGAGTATAATTATCGAGCCTCGATTATTGTGTAAATAAATGCAAGCTAATTATCGCTTCTTATTCTCCAGCCTGAACTTCAAAGAAAGTCTTTGATTGAACTTTTACTAATTGCGTCAATTAATGAATGCTGTGCGAATACAATTTATTCGTGCAACGGTAAACAATAATGACGAACATTTTTTCATGCTCGATGGATTGCTTGATGAAAGAAGAAAGTCTTATTATACGGAGTCTCGCATGCGATGAGTTTTTCAATCGATGAGACTCGTCAAAAATAAGGAAGTAAATAGACCTCAGATGAAAAAATAATTGGAATCCACTTGCATCTATTTTATATAAAAGAAATTGTGCTTCCTATGTTGCATGGCATTGCCACGAGTCGTTCTTGACATTATTCTAGAGAGATTTGAATTAATTGATTGATAATCTCTTATCCCAGATGTGTTAGAGTTCATTTTGCTTCTCTGCTGTCGCAGCTGTCGAGTGCAGTTATCTGTCAGTAATGCAACTGGCAATTTCAATATTTTCTCAACGGATGAACAATTTCGTGGCCTGTTTTCAATCGTGGAATCGTTGAAGATAACATTCTTGCCAACTAGATATCTAGGCTTCTTGATTCCTGTATTCGATACACGATAGCACATTGAAGTTTTATAATTAGATAACTTTGGCAAAATCACAGACGTTGAATCATCGTAAGAGCATAATCGAGCTATTTGTCTGCGATCTCTTCCGTTAGGCTCACTCGTTCACTGAGATCACGCGAGCTTTGGCAAGGTCATGGCCAATCTCGAGCAACTCGATACCGAGTAGTGGAATCATCATCGCGTGCAAGCATAAGTGAAAGAGAAAGGAAGAGTTACAAGTTAACCTTCGCAACTCTTTCAAATTGTTTCTTCCTGCGATCAGCTGATTTCTTAGTAATTCTATTCAAAATTAGATCAATTTATTGTATTGCGCAGTGAAAGTATTTTCCTGTCAGATTTTCCAAGATTGAAGAAATGCATTTGAAAGCGATAATTATAGCTCGTTTCCATTGCGCATAAACCGCTAACGACGTTAATATTAGCTATAAAGATTTTCATCATTGTAATTAGTATAATCGCACCTTCAACTTTCTAATCACATTATATGGCGCAAAAAAAATGTTACAAATTCTCGAAAGGGAAATAAAACCTATTGCGTGGTTTATATATATATATATTTTTTTTTTCTTTGTTTATAAAGACTTATAATTCTTATGACGATTCAAAAGTCTGAAATCAGACAATTACCTATCGAAAATTGTAGTATATATATGGAAGTGAATATCTTTAATTTATGATAACAATATAATTCTATTTAGAATAGAAGCAGAGTGCCTATCAATGATATTATTGTAGAAATAGAGTCTAAAGGATTTGAATGGAGCTCTGTTACATTAGAACATTATAAACACGTGCATAAATACTGATAAATACACATCTGATAAACAATATTATAAACATAAACTGTAAATATTTGTTCGATAAATCAACATTTTCTTATCACTAATTAATACTTTTGAGGCTTCCATGAGTGTTTTCTATACAGAAACTGTTTCGCGAGTTATCTCTGTATTCATTATTAGAATGTCAACGTTTCGTGAATATTGTAGTTCACTTCATCAGAGCGAAGAATAGCTTGATGCAATATTAGGTTGCTCCTCGCCCTGATGAACTAGTATTCGCGAAGCATTGATATTGTAATAATGAATTTGGGCACGGAGATAACTCGCGAAACGCATAGCTTCTATATTTTTTTACCACTTAACAATTGAAATTAAGCAAATTTCGATTGCTCGCAATTATTTCCGTACAATCGAATCCAGCGCCACGAGTCTTCATTGAAATCCAGGTTGCAAGACAGACGAAAATTAAAGAATGCCAGTTCTATATATTGACCTCGCTTCCTGGATACCAAGGTATAGTATAAATAGAATAACTTTTTTACAGAAACAAAATGTCTCGTAATTTTTTAAATATAAAGAAAATTTAAGATACTATACATTTCTTCCTTTCTTTAGGAAAAAAATAATCTCCAAAATAATTTGTAGAAAAAAAGTACAAGAGAAAGAGACGTGTCTGCAATGTGTGAATCATTGATTGTCAACATGTTTCCTTACATATAATTTTACGTATGTCGTTTTACTTAATACGTTGTTTGCGTTGTGGCACAGGCGCTTTAGCGATTGTATATAGAGATAAGAGGTCATTTGAAAATTTATTGATCTGCATCGCAGAAATATATGACGTGCAAAGTAGAATATAAGTGTTTTTTGGAAAATATATCTTTGCTCTTTTTATGCAATCTTCGTAACGATATCTGCCAAGTCGCGTGGGTGGTAAGGTTAAGGATGAAACTGATACCCGATGACGATTCTCGTGTACCCCATTTAGTTATTACATATCTTCGATAAAATTGTTGACTTGGACAAGGTCCAAGACCCGGTGATGAATTTTACGAGTTTTTCTACTTCCGTGGAATTGCTTTCCGATCGGTCGATACTACATTAATTGAGGAAATTCTAAAACAAGGAAAACAAAGCCATTGTTGAAATGACATCTTTTATTTAAATTTACGTTTGCTGGTCGTCTCAAAAATTAGCATTGAATAGCTCGCTGAAAATTCGCGAATGGAAATCTTCAGACGAACTAACTGTGCCTACTGCTGGTAGATTCATATCGTTGCTTGAC